GTCCCTCCAGGCAGGCATCTTTATTACGGAACAAACTCGGTTTCCTGCTCCAAAGCCGGTTTTGTCGTTATTTTATTTTGCAATGCGGAGTACAGGACTAAGTAGGCGAGCCAAAGAGGGTCCGCCTTTGCTTCCGTTCAACAATGTCTGCCGGTATTGTTCTCCTGCTGCTCATAATCTGACCGGCGTGGTGATGTATGGTCAAACAACCCCCACATCCAAGATGATGCGGTCGCGCTGGCGAGATGTTAACTACTTTGCCTGATATCCAGGAGGACGTGGGTTCGATCCCGTCCCTGAAGCCTGCTGTAAATTTGGAGTTTGCTTGTTCTCCCCGTAGTCGTGTGGATTTTTCTCCGGGTCCTCTGTTTTTTCACTCTACATTTATAAACATGCGTTAAAGAGTATTTGGCTGCTGTGAATTTCCACATGATGACCAGCCACTTCGTTGAGCTATCATTTGTGGCCAGGTCGCTTCTGAAAAAGAGTCACATAGCTCAGTGGGCTTTGCCTGGTAAAATATAAATAGTAAAAAAATTAGCGAGACATAGTACGGTGCTATGTGTGCCGGTGCTAGGTGGATTATTACATCGCGGAATTGTAAAATAAACTGGTGGCTTGGAGAGGCCTTCATCCAGCAGTAGATTGAACATAGCTGATGATGATGTTTAGATTTTTTATTACTGTAGCGGACCACCCACTTTGCAATTAACATCATTGTTTAAATCTCCATCGACAGCCCCGATTAGCACGGTTGACGACGTATGGTGTGCAAGAAATTCAATATACGTACTGTCAAAATGTACTTCAAAGATGTATCTCCTTTATAGCTGTTGTCTATGCAATTAAATACCTCGTGTGTATATATATACTCACAATATCCATATCTGTCTCATTTATTAACGCTCCGATCCGTTTGGAGATTGTTAAGATCTCTTTTTTTCTTCCTCCGCATTTCAGTGACGGTGCTGTAGGGAGGCATACATTGTCTCAGCGACTAAGCAGAGCTTCTTAATATTTATTGTCTCTCTGTGGTATTCACTGTCTCGCACTGGGCGAGTGCCACTTAATGAGGTCTCTAACAATGCCAAAAGAACTCCTGTGACATTATGCAGCCTTGACGGATGGCGCTATTTACTTCAAAGCTTCCGCTTTCTTTATTATTGGCATTGACCGTACACGGTGGGCCAGTGTTTTAATCTTTTATCGTATTAATAATAATCTCTTGCGCTACACTGTATGATTTGAGAATATTCCGCAGCGATTGTTCATTTCTACACTTTATACAGATCTTTTTGAGAGCCAAATCAGTTCATAATTAGCGGTGCCTGCCATTCAATTTTATGTTTAAAGGGTATAAATGTGGCATATATGGCAGCGGCAGCAAGTCGGAAGCATCGCTTGTTCTTCCCGTAATCTTTTATCAACGGCGTCTTTGATCCCGTTGTGCATAATAAAGCAGACAAATTATATTATTTTTTCCTTGGGACCGATAAAGGGCTGAAACTAACACCAATTATTGCAGTTTGTCAAGTCGTTCTTTTCTGCTAGTTTCATAATGGTTCCCTTTCTTGCATCCTTAAGGGTGTTGCTCAGAGGCCCATGTGAGATCAAATAATCCGAGGCAATCTTTTAACCCTTTCTCGCTTCAAGACGGCTGCAAGTTGCAAGGTGTGGGGTCCCGTTCACCTCTGAATCTCGGAACGTGCAAGCGGTTAGTGTTAATTTGATTTAGAAAGGCGTAATAGCACCGTTGTTTTGAAATATATTGTATTCACCGCAGAGAACTGTAGTGACACGACCGCACTTCTATGATCTTCTTGGTTCTTTCGGTAAAGTCACGTAGAAGGGACGTAATAAAATAATAAAAATAAAACATAAAACAATTATCACAATTAATATGTTTTATTATGTTTTATTTTTATTATTTTATTACTTCCCTTCTATGTGACTTTACTGAAATAACCAAGAAAATTAATCCCTGCAGTCACGAAAGCTTTAAATCGAAACTTCTATGATCGTTAGCGCCAAACTGTGCCACACGCCATCCCGCGTAGCCTTGTGGCAGCCTCGGTACCAGTTACTTGTTTTAATTTTTTATTTTTGTTACTTATTTTTTCTTCCGGTTTCTTTTTTGAGTATGAACATGTACGTCATCGGAACGGAATCGTAAGGGAAACTTAACGAAAAGGGGTTAAGAAGGAGCGGTGGCGCGCGCGCGTGCCGTGGTAGGCTAGCGCCGTGAAGCCGGCCAAGTGAGCTCGATCCACGTCCAGCGGTCGACCGACGCTGTCAGTGGCGAGCGATGTCCTGATCTGGCAACTGGGCCAACCCCGGCGCGCCGTCGCCAATCCTCGTCTCGCCAACGTTAGCCAAGTATGGCCAAACAATCCCCGTATCTGACACGGTGTCGGGATGCCTTCATCCAGCAGTCGATTGATGGAGCTATAAATGAACCAGTAAATAAGCAGTTGGTGTACTTATTCTTTGGTTCTTTCGGTAAAGTCACGTGACTATACCGAAAGAACCAAATAATAATTCCTGCAGTCACGAAAGCTCCAAATTAAGTTGGTGTACTTGTTTATCTTTGCAAACGTGTATTGTTTTGGAAATTCATTGTTTGCTAAAAGTTTTTGTAAGAGAGGGATATTGTCTTACTAACAAAAGTCTCAGTGGTTCCCCACTCGTTTGAATGAGTCAAAAACAGTGAATCGAAAAAGAGATGATGATGATGATTATATGATATTTAACTACGAGAAATGTTTTTTTCACCACCTGCTTATAGACAAAATGGTCACAAGAAATATTTAACAAACGCAATTCTCATTATGCACCACAGTGTAAGAAAAGTGCAGCCACCAACTCTTATTATCCAGTTTAACACGTAGGCTTTCGCGACCAATATTATTCAAAATGAACGTTTTTGGGTTTAGATCGCGTTATTTACAAATGTGTCGTAACCCTCCACCACCCGACACGGCCAATCAGTAAAAAAGTGTCACGTTGCATAATCACAATAAAACACATTCCAAATGATTACTAATCCACAACTCGCATCGTAACAATAGCCTGATTACTAATCTAGTATATAATTACAATAAACCCCCCCCACAAATCTTTGCACCTGATGAGTTAATGAGTTAATGATGACGTCACCCTGCTGCTGCTCTATATAAGAACGGGAGACACAGCAGAGCCTCACCATTCTGGCGAATTGCCCGATGATGCTGGATGCAATTACCAGCGAAACGTCGTACTCAAATTGTAAATTGTTGTGGTTTCACGCTTCAACACACCGGTGGGCTAAAGCAGTGAACTATTTGTCTTTTTAACACGTAGGCTTTCGCGACCAATGTTATTCATAATCAACGATTTTTGGGTTTAGATCGCGTTTATTTATAAATAAACGCGATCTAAACCCAAAAATCGTTGATTATGAATATTTGTCTTTTGTCAACGTGACACTTTTTTACTGATTGGCCGTGTCGGGTGGTGGAGGGTTACGACACATTTATAAATAACGCGATCTAAACCCAAAAACGTTGATTATGAATCTTATTATCCACTCTACCTCTCGGGCATCTATATTTATGCATGATGAAGAAGGTCCGTTATCCGAGTCGTCAGCTTTTATATCTATTTTTTTCTTTAAGGCCACTGTTATTGATGTGATTGTGCAATAATGTGGTCTTCGCAAGCTGCTTTGCTCTTCAGTTCGGTGGAGGCAATATCTCAAGTCTTCCCCTGCGATACCATTCACGTTGATGCTCATTTCTGGCATTGATTCAATGTCTCTTAAAGTTGGACAATTTGGAGGTTGCATGGTGGCGGTTGGGCGGCGAATAATGTACCTTTGCTCTGCAGGTTTGGTGATGTATTTGTCCATCCTTGCCGTAACAGGGTCACAATTACTTTTCAATTATCCTGCAGTCACGAAAGCTTATTGCGATCGAAACGTCGTGATCTATTATTTTTTCTACCTACGTGACTTTACCGAAAGAACCAAAGAGTATGGATTCCGGCAGTCACGGAAGCTTCAAATCAAGATTATCCTGCAAGAATTAGTTTTTTCTGAACGACTGTTCACGCGCCTTCTTTGCTCACGCCTATTTCGGCCCCTTATACTTTGTTTTCAGTCAAGTTTATTTTTCCAAAGCTTTCTATTTTTTTACGCTCCTAATATCTGTAGTGGAATGCCAATTTTGTTTTCCAAATTACCAACTTCAGTGGAAACATTTAGGAAGTGTTGTTTTGGCTGTATGTGCTCATCGATTGCACTTCGAAGAAAGCCGCAGAACTATAATAATAATCCGAAATTATAACGTGCAAAGTATTCACTCGCTTTCGGAAGAGACAGAACGGCGCAAGGAACGAGAGACAAGCAGAAAGGCAGTCATTTGGTGAGCCGGCATCAACAATTGCCCAAGCTCTGCGATCCTTCAGATGTTCAGGTGTTATAATCCATTTAATGAGTGTGTACATCTTCTGGGTTCTTTCGGTAAAGTCACGTAGAAGGGAAATAATAAAATAATAATAAATAAAACATAATAAAATACAATTCTCACGACGTTTCGTGACTTTACCGAAAGAACCAAGAAGATGAATGCTTTCAGTCATGAAAGCTTTAAATCGAAAGAGTGTGTACATGTGCGAGGAAATCAGAGCACCCGGAAATAACCCAAGCATAATTCACTCTTCAATTATTGTTTTTTACTGTTCCAAAAGCCATTCCATCATATGTTTGTAAACGTGAATGCAGCTCAGAATGTTGTGAATCAGCCGTATGAAAAAATAAATGTCCAACATATTTTGAGACGTTTCTTTGGCTGAAATCACGCAATTTTAAAGCGGTCAAAGCCAATCTTTGTTTTTTGTTGTTGCTTTTAATCATTCATGCATGAGAGAGTTATTTGAAACCGGTGCTTGACTCTAGTTTTTTTTTGGTGACCGAGTTGGTGGCGTTTGCGTAACAGTGACACCCGCCGGCGTTGTTCCCGCAGGCCACGTGAACTACAGCGTGGTGACAGGCTACCCCATCGAGCAACACTGGACCCTGCGCAGCAATTTGAAGAGAGTGACTCTCAGCACACGCACCCTCTCCCCGGGTAAGCCACCGAACCTCGGAGCGAGTAAAAAAATCAACATCACGAATATTCTCTGCTGCATTCTCAATAGCGGCCGAAGGGTTTAAGTAAATCGTTGGTGTTGAATAATTCCCCGTCAAATGTATTTTTTTTTATCGCCAGGCTACGCAATGTTCTGACTAAAAATGTCCGTTGTTAAGAACCCTCCATCAACCGACAAAGTCAAACAAATGAATTATTCAAGAGTTCCAACATTTAGCGCGTTCTATTTTGTTAGCTCAGAGGTAGGTTAAAAGAACAATTCTCACGACAAAATGTTCGTTGTAATTTACCCCCACCATAGGAATGACTCTATTACCACCTTCTCGTGCTCTTCCGAGTGAATGCTTTATTAGCTTTAATAGCACGATATTTTGTAGGAAAGGGGTAAAGATAAAGGTGCAGACCTGCAATTGCTTGCTCACACCGCTGCTGACAGAAGGGCCTTGACTGGAGGGATCTCTTGGAGATCCCGTCTACAAAAGATTTTAAACTAAACTTAACTAGCAACTAAACTAATTTAATTTCACCAGGTTAGGCCCACTGAGCTCTACAGCTCTTTTTCAGAAGCAACCAGGCCACAAATGATTGCTCAACAAAGTGGCTCATCACGTCTAAATTTATAGCACCCCCCGCGACTATATAATTCCTCGTCACAGCCATCTCTTAGACACACTCAAGCGGTTGTGCTTTCGCTACGTTGTCCCCACCTGAAGAAGGACGCTTGTGTTGCGCCCGAAACGTCGTGACTTAATTTAGTAGTTTTCATTTATTTTATTTTATTTTTTACCTACGTGACTTTACCGAAAAAACCAAAGAGTATGAATCCTTGCAGTCACGGAAGCTTCAAATCTAGAACTCCTGAATGCATGTTTCCGGAGGACCCAGAGAAGAATCCACACGAACATGGGGAGAGAGAGACGCAAACTCAAAATGTACAGGCGTCAGGGTCGGAATCGATCCCACGACCTCCGGCATACCAGGCGAGGTACTTAGGGTGAGCTTACTCACAGTTCACCCCACCTGCCAAGCCTCTTGACTGTGGTGTACCCATCTATCCTACTGGGTGGGTAGAAGTGGAGGGATTTCATAAACTTGCCCATTGCGCCAGGGCATGGAGTCGAATCGCTAACCTCTGGACTGCAAGCCCGTTGTGCCGAGCGTTACAATCGCTGCGGCAGCATCCCCGTGGCAGGCATGGCAGGGCTTATTTGGTGTTTGTTTAAAAAAGCCCGAAGGTTTTCGGGCAAAAGTTATAACGTTTCAGGTGGCATTTTATTTTGTGTGCGTAGTTGCGTGTGCATTGCTCACTGCTGCTCGGAATTAGCATAACCGTGGCGGGAAGGCAATGTACAAATCTGCCGGATCATTGAAACGTCTTACATGGGAACGGATCGGTGCTGTGTTATTACTTGTCAAATCATGGCAATAAATTGACGTGTGCTGGAAATATTTCCTTACGTTTTGCGGTCAAAATAAGCCCTGCGATGCATTTGCATGTGCATTGCCTGGGATCAGCTATATTTGGACAACGCAGATGCAGATTTACTGACAGGTATAATCTGTATCAGATTCTCCCCCTCCCCTTCCACTCCAAAATTAACCCTTTCCCATTCCGAGATATCTGCAAGATTCAGGGTTTGTTCCCGTTCACTGCTCAATCTCGAAAGCTGTTAGCCTTAATTTTATTGAGAGAAGCATTGCGCCGTTGTTTTTAAAGACATCGTTTCTCACCGCAGAGAATCGTAGCGACACGCATTCTATGATGGCTGGCGCCGAGCTGTGCCACATGGCCCTCCCGCATGGCCTTGCTGGAGCCTCGGTACTGATACAGTCATTTTATTTTAGTTTTTGCTTCTGGTTTCGTTCTAAACGTACACGTACATTCATCGGAATGGAATTGAAAGAAAAACTGACGACATACACGTACGTCATCAGAATGGGAAAGGGTTAATTGCCCAAACATTCTGAGCAGGGCCTTCCTGGGATAGGCTCTTCCATCATCGTCGTCATTAGCCATGGTCAATCCACTGGTGGATGACGGCTTCCCAAAACTATCACCATTTCTCACGTTTCCGCGGCCAATTCATTCTAGCACCCTGGATCATAAATAATTTTGCATATACAAAGGGATGCTGCCATGGTGTGATGTTTACACACTGGACTTGCAAAGCAGAGGTCTCTGGTTCGATCTCCCGGCGTGGCAGTTAAGACAATGGACGATTACTTTAAATGCCCCCTGCCTCTGTCCATTCAGCGGTATGAATGAGCGCGCGACAAGTTTCGTCGATCGGCGGGACGTGTTTTGATGGGGTAAAGCGTGTCTGGCCAGCGTGGTAGAGTAGGTCAAACGCCCTCTAGAGAGGCTCGGTACATCTCCCTTTAGCGGAGGCACTTCCACCAACAGTGTCTTGAGTAAGCGATTGCAGTGCTGCACCTTTACCTGTTTGCAATCACAACTAAAACAATTTACGATGAAGGCCATTCAGCAAATTGGGAAAAGTCTCTCAGAAGGTAACCATGGTTGAAGTTGCTTTATACTTGGATGAGGCGACACCAGGGCTTGCCATGTGTTGCAGGCATAAGGCGAGTGGATGAAGTGGCCAGGAGATATCAGAGCTAATTTTGAAACCCTCATACTCATGGGCTTTCACTTGATTCTCCTCCAGTTTCCTCCCCAACATGAATCAAAACACTCATTAATGTTATTGGCAAAACATCTGAATGCAGAAACTCTCTGGAAAAAAAAGAGCCTTGGGACTTGGTGAGGTTTTCCTGGTTAAATAATTGGCATTATCACGATCGCAATTATGATAATTACGGAAAAAAATTTGTAACAAAAAAAAACACTATTGGTGCATCTTGTCTTTCTGAGAATATTGTGTAATGGAAGGCTCTCTGACCAAAGCAGCCACATCATTATCGCTGCTCAGATTGCCCACTGCCTCGGATGTAGGACCACTCCCAACACGAACCAGAATCTGGACACTGCCCGAATGAAAATGGAGCACTCTCAAATGAGGTGTAAAATAAAGCACCAACGGAGACCTCCATGGTGCAGCATTATGCAAAGCTCTCATAGGCCTGCGGTAAAAGTACTGAGGCTTTCAGGCGGTTTACATCGCCGCCTTTTTTGTTGACGTAATATTAGGATTGCATTTGCTAAAAAATATGCACACTCGCGTATTGAGTGTGCAATTTTGTCGCTGCAAAAAAAATTCCCGCGTGACAAAATTGTTCATCCATAAAAGAGTTATTTTTTTTGGGTTAGGTTTTTTTGGGTTAGATCGCGTAAATATGGATGACATTGGCCGCGAAAGCCTACGTGTTAAAATTGTTCTTGGTGCCTATCACCACCTGGGGTGCCTTGCTGTGAGGTGAAGATTCTTTTCCAAGGATTTGTCGGGCGAAGGAAACATTCGCAATGCTTTTTTTTGCCCATTGCAACACGCAGGCCGATGCGATTTGATCACCTCCATCTTTCCGCGAATGTTGCCGTCGTGTTATGGCTAGCACACTGAACCTGTCGACCAGAGATCGCTGGATCCATCCGTTGAGACAACGGGGAAAACTTGTTGAAACCCCCCCCCCCCCTCCTTGCCTCTGTCTGCACAACAGTACAAACATGTGCAACCAAAGCCGATCAGCAGGTAACATACGGGTTGATCCCACCTCTTCCAAGACGCCTGCCAAGTGTCAAATAGTAGACCAAAGCACCGCCAGGAGGGGCTCTCTCCAGAAATATCTTCCTCAATTTGAGGTTCCGCCAGCAAGCGGCATGAGCGGACAATTGCAGGGCTGCACCTACACCTAAACCTCTAAGCGTCTCGCTCTGCGACTTCCGCTCAAACACTGCATTTATACCAATGTGACATCAGCTCATTTCATTAGGGGGGGGGGGGTGCGGTGGGGTGGGAAGGGAAGGGGAGAAACTGTGGCCAGCGCGACAGGCTGCATTTTAATAGCAAATATGCGTCAAGTAAAGAGGCGTGTGTGGCCACTGCGGCTGCCTCTCCACCAGGGGATTGTATAACACGATCGTGCAGCAACTGTTCCTTCCTTTTTTTTCCTTCCAGAAATCTTTCCGGGCCCCCTTTTTTTCGCGTGGTCACGAAATGGAAATAATTGCAATAAACAAACTGGGAGACAGATTGCGGTTAACATTCAATGACATTCATGCATTCGAGATCTAACGAAGGGACCCTCGCCTTAGGGAAAACACAAATAAAAGGTCAGACTAAATCACAGGTGCGCCCACCCCTTCCGAGACGTCTTGTCAGCATGGCGGCTCAGCGGTGGAGCGAGCGGCTCGCGGTCGGGAAGGTTGCGAGTTCAAACCCGGTTTGGAGGTTTAATCAGCGCCATCATCCTCCGGGGTCAATGAAAAGAGTTAGCACTTTGCGAGGAAGTCAACAGCGGGTTGTCCTATGGGGAGACTGACACCCCCCCTTCCCCCACTGTAAGGGTATTGGAATTCATATCGCTGGCTCAGGGCTGTAAACAGGAGACGAGAATCTTCTTGGTTCTTTCGGTAAAGTCACGTAGAATGGGAAAAATACAAAAAAACATAATAATAATAAAATAATTCTCACGACGTTTCGGCCACAACGCAAGCAGCCGTCCTCAGGTGGAGAGCAGGTTTGTCGAGTGGACAGAGTCTGAACATGTTTTATTTTATAATTTCCATTCTACGTGACTTTACCGAAAGAACCAAGAAGATGAATTCCTGCAGTCACGAAAGCTTTAAATCGAAAGGAGACGAGAACTGACTCAATGCAGATTTGAGCCGGAAAATTCACTCTTGACGCTTGAATTACCGACGCGCAAATGAAACCAACGTCGGCATTTTTGTTTGTATTTCGTGTTTCCATTGTATTTCCCCGTGGAGTATATGCCCGTGATTTATATTTCATGTAAAGTTCTATACGCACATGGCAACCCTGGGAGCTTTTCTCAAATCCGCCCCCCCACCCAACACCTTTCTGTTCAGCCAGCAGTGTAAATGAGTGCATCACAGTCCGTCGATTGGCAGGTGCGGTGGAGTGAAGCGTGAGGGATTCCTCTTCTCAGATGTCTGGTCAGGGTGAAAAAATCAACCCGTAAAAACAAAGTTTTTCACTCTAAATCCTTTATATGCGTGGCGGCTAGAGTCCTCTCGTCCTCTGGCTTGAGATGGCTGCCACCTATGGGTCAGATGATTGCCTGCCACCATTAAGCAATTGGTAAATAAATATAATTTTTTTTTCCTACAAATTGTAAAGTTATGGAAAAAGAATTTCACGAAAATAAATTGTCACACACAACGAGTCTGTGTGCAAAATGTCAGCTCGATTGGATCACGGGAAGTGGGTTAAAAAACGACCGAAAGATTTGCACGGTCGTAAGCGCGCAAGCAAGTGAACTTAATATAAAGGATTTAAAAATAGGCCAACATATATGCTCTAGAAGGGGCCTTTCTAGAACTCCCTCTCGTGGAGGGCCTGACTGCCAGCGATGGCATGAGCAGGAATTTGCAGCCTTTGCCTTTTTACTATAAACACAAACTGATTTTCGCTGTTTTGCATCTATTAACTTGTCACGGGCAATTAATTGTGCAAGTTTTATCCACGCGTTCCATCGATTGTGTTTGTTTCCGATGGGAGACGTGCCTGTGGGGTAACAAACCCAGGTGTGAGTGTATGTGTGTACCTATATTCACGAGCAGGATACTGGCCAGATGCCACGTTCTGCAAAATCGTGTAATTAATTGGCCGTTTACATTTTTTCTCTCCAATTATTCTGAATATTGCGGCAACTTCAGACAGCACACGCGGCGAAACCTTGCCCGTAATATTGCACTGTTGCTTTGGCATTGTGCAAGATTTGCCCATGGGTTAGTATGGTGTGAGATCGGTCATGTTTTACTTTTTTTTTTATGAAAGCCTGACTTGTAAATTATTCTGTCCTAGACAGATGGTGCTCACGGCATTCTCTTGTTTTGCTCCTAAAATATGTAGGAGTACACGCTGACCTATGACCCACTCCATAGTTGTACCTTAGGGCGTCTGTCTCCATGCCGCTGAGAGGTCTTCCTCATCACAGATGTTTGGGAGAGCTCGGACATTGGATTATCTATGTAATCAATTACTCTTTCGATCGTCGATTCGATTACCCAACTAATCGAATAACACGTGCAAATAGTTGTAAACGAAAACATATCGATTTAAAGCTTTCGTGACTGCAGGGATTCATCTTCTTGGTTCCTTCGGTAAAGTCACGTAGAAGGGAAGTAATAAAATAATGAAAATAAAACATAAAATAATATTTTAAAATAATATTTTATTACGTTTAATAAAATAATTAAAATAAAACATAATAAAATAATATTTTAAAATAATATTTTATTATTTTTATTATAAACATTTTCATAGGTCAATATTCAATTTTTTAATAAAAATAAAACATAATAAAATAATATTTGAAAATAATAAAAATAAAACATAATAAAATAATATTTGAAAATAATATTTTATTATTTTTTATTTTTATTATTTTATTACTTCCCTTCTACGTGACTTTACCGAAAGAACCAAGAAGAAAAATATATCACCGCTGTTCTCACGTGTGCCGCTGGACGGGAGGTGGCAAACAGGGCTTTGTGACGTTATCGGCATCATCAGCCTCATCGTACTGAATGTAGCTTCTAGGAGGGTGTTCCTGTCTTCAGGAGGCAGGGTGTGGCGTGGTGGGGGGGGTTTAAGAGTGCTGAGTCATGGACCACAAAGAAATAGTTGATGACAATGTTCAGTCAATTAATTTAATTAATTGACGAAACGTCTCGTCCGTAATGTTTGAGAGAAAGAGAAATTTGTCTTGATTTGTTTAGGGGCAAAACAACAGCAGAGCTTATTTTTGGCATAAATTACTCGATTACATGTTACGATCGATTGAATTGGTAAACATTTTCATAGGTCCAAATTGAAGCACTGTAAACTAAGGGGACAATTTCAATTAACAATGTTTGGCAGCTGGTCTCTGACATATTTCTCTTGGTTTAACGCAATTAAACGCTTGTGCCTATGCTATCCTGAACTCTGTTTATTAAGTTCGAGTTTTTCATTGCAAAAAACACTGATTAAGATTCATGATTATGACATATTTGTGCCCTCGCTTGCAACTGTTTTCCCCTGGCGCTCATAATTTCATCTTTTTTTTTACATTCCCAACTGTTGGCGCCTTTGAAAGAATGCGTATTCTTCCAGTGAGCAGATGTATTGCGCTAATGGTGAACATACTTTTTTCCTTTCATTACATGCAGAATTAATTTGTTGTCACCATAAGCCAAGTAGAACTGGCAAGTATTCTGGTCTGCGTGCTTTCTAGTTATTCCTAGTGTCAACAGCGGTGATTTTTTTACGACAGAAAATAAGGTTGCCAACTTTTCCACAACCCCAGAAATATGTCTGTCAGCCTAGGTTTATCAGAACTGTGCAGTATACTGGAAACAAGTTAAACACAATACCACCGTATCTAGGTACGAATCGATTCCTGCGAAAGATGCCATTTTCTGGGCTGTTTGGATCAAACCCAGACAGGTGGTGACCCTATACTGCAGCCTCACGGAGACTTAATTGACACTGAGCCTTTATTTGTGGATTTTTTTCTGGTCTGTGTCAAGTCAAAGGTCACAGTTCCTCTTTGCGGAAATCAGTAGAATTAATTTTTCATTGGTAATCCTTGAACATTTGTGGATATTCTTCCTTTAAATGGCAGGGGAGAAGTCTATCCATATGACAACAATCGCTGCGGACCTCGACTCATCATTCAGAAGGAATGATGAGTCGAGCGAATCCCCAACTGGGATTTGAACCACTGCTCTAAACGAGAGAGCACGCTGTCGAATGTCTGCGTGTGTATGTATGTAATAGCGAGTAACACGTAACAAAAGGCTCATCACATTCGTCAATAACACTGTGGCCTTAAAAGGAAACGTGTATAATAGGCAACGAAGCAGATATGCTATGACGAGACGTCAGAGAATATATACTTTGTTTGCGAAGGCCACGGTCTATTTGACGAATGTGCTGAAGTTTGTGCAAAAAAAAAAAGAACTTCGTGCAAAAAGTAGCAATGCATCTAATGTATTGTTTATTTGCAATGCTTATGTTCAACGTAATTTCTTCACGTGATCCCTGCAGCCAATAGAAGCCGAGGTTTCACCGCAATGACATAAGTAAGAAAAATTAGTCTGGTTTCTGAGCAAGATTCCGATTGGCAGGTGTGTTACATGTGTGTCGATCGAGCCTCACGCTTATTACACTCAAAGATACACGCACCGAGCCATGCGCATGATAAACGATGCATTTTGATTGCAGGAAATGTATCCGCTAATGGTAAATTCTGGCCAATGCAGCGAACAAAACCCTACAAACGGGACGGAAGAATGTGAGGGCCGGATACAAATGAGGTGGTGAATTGAGACAAAAAAAATATTTACTCTTGACTCAAAGCGGAAACCCAAATCATGACATTATGAAATCGCTGAGGTGGAAAGAGGCGGTGGGGTGGGAGGGTGGGTGGTGGATTGTTCCTTTGCCCTGTAAGATTGCCACAATATAGCGACACTAGCGTGCGAAACGCGGTCCACGATAATCGCGCCGTCCATCCTGCTAAATATTTTCGCGCGTTGAGATTTTCACAGAGTCGATGCAATAAAAGTACAAAACACGACACATTTCTACTCACGTGATCTAACCCAAAAAACCTTTATTGTGAATAATATTGCGTCGCGAAATGCCTACTACGTGTTTAAACGTTTGCGAAGTTAGTCGCAAGCGACGCTGCGATGAATTTCCACGTCGTGAAAAAAATTGACCCTTGCATCGTTTGCAACACCAGTTCGCCGGCTAAGACATCGTTTCCCGCACCGCAGGCTTCGTCAAGGCCATCGGAGCCCTGAGTCCCGAGAGCTCGCGGGATGAGTTCCTCGCTCTGGCCGCCGACTTCGGAAGCCGCTTCATGACCGAGGCGCTGTACGGCTCCGAGCGACACTGCACCATGCGCTTCCCGAGCAAGCGCCTGCAGCGACAGATGTGGATGCAGTACCAGAGGCTCAGCAAAGGTGGGAGCTATTGCGGTTCTCCACCGAGCTTGTCTCTCACCCCAAGTGTCCCGTCCATCCGGGCGATGTTATTATTATTATTTTAATTATTTTTTGGCTCGCCATCGAACGAAGACGGTCACTGCGCCGTGCTGTTTCAAGTGCGCTTCTGCGGCCGTCTAGAGCGCTCTTCCGATATTAGGAAGCTATGCACTTTTACATCTAGATTGCATTTTTTGTTCTTTAGAACTGCTTTCTGTGTTTAGCTTGTTGTCTTTCCCCGGGCACCTCCGATTAGCACGGTTGACTATGTACGGTGCAAAAGAAGTTGAACATACTTACATACATTCATGTCTGTCTGTGCATCTGTTTATATTATTGTTGTTATGCTTCATTTCCTGCTTCATCAAGTCATTAAATGGTTGGTAGTGGTTTCTTATTCTTTGGTTCTTTCGGTAAAGTCACGTAGATAGAAAAAATAATAAAGTGAATAAAGTGAATAAAAATTATGAAAAAATATTTTTATATTATTTTTCCGAGAGAACATCGGGGACTTGAGAAATCGTCCGGCTCATGGGGCGAAACGATGCCGGACGTCGTGCCCAACAGTGTGTGGGATGCGACGCGAAAGCGCGCCGCAGAGCCGTCACGGTACCTACGCAACCAAAAGCTACACAGCAGTGAAAAGAGGCCAAATCGTAGGGGAAGAGAACGCTTCGAACACTCACGTGGAAATGTGCTAAAAGCGCACGCGTACGCTTGCCCAAGTGCAAAACAAAACATCGGGAGACGTTGATGGTTTTTTGTACAAAGGCCGTTGTGCTTTTTACACATTCTTGCGTGTCGTTTCAACTAAGAGCAGATAAGAATGAACACGTTTCTTGGATCGATTGAGATTTTAAAAAGGACTCAACCCTTTCGTCAATAGCACTGCCTTGCACAGAACAAGTATGTCATAGGGGACGTTTTAGGCGATATCCCTTCTGCAGAGCACACAGAGAGGCATCTCTCTGTGCTGTTGACCAGCTGTGCCATCGGCCATCTCTGCTACAAAGAAGGACCATCGTCCAAAATGTGGCACATTCTATAATTTTAGATTTTTAAGGCCACATCATGATTGACGAATGTTAGTTTGTGTTTTGTTAGTTGTGCTTGTGCACCACTGTCAGTGCAGTACCACCAAATAATTTGCTGTTGCAATTTGATCTTTCGGTAAAGTCACGTAGAAGGGAAATAATAATATAATACAAATAAACATAATAAAATCAAATTTTCACGTCGTTTCGCCACAACGCAAGCAGCCGTCCTCAGGTGAGAGAAAGAAAAAACACGTCGTGAGAATTGAATTTTATTATGTTTTATTTTTATTATTTATTTATTTTTATTCTACGTGATTTTACCGAAAGAACCAAGAAGATGAATCCCTGCAGTCACGAAAGCTTTAAATCGAAAAGTAACAAGCAAGCAGCTTAACGGCAGTGAGAGAGAGACTGGAGTCATTCGGTAAGCACAGGAGTCTAAATCAGCTCAACCGATTGATGTTGAAATAATAAAATAATAAAAACAAAACTTAATAAAATACAATTCTCACAACGTTTCGGCCATAACGCAAGCAGCCGTCCTCAGGTGAAGAACAGGTCTGTCGGAAGGACATCGTCTTCAGAAGCGTCTTCAGACGCTGTCTTTCCGACAGACCTGTTCTTCACCTGAGGACGGCTGTGAGAATTTTTTTTTATTACGTAGTATTTTAATTATTTTATTATTTCCCTTTTATGTGACTTTACCGAAAGAACCAAGAAGATGAATCCCTGCAGTCACGAAAACTTTAAATCGAAAAATGAGTTGATATGTTTATAAACATCAGGATTTTAATTAATCGCATTTAAAATAACTTCATTTTGGTTGTTTTGCAATTAAGAACTCCGCATGGGATCCTTATTTTATTTTAAGGCAAGTGTGAGCAATGATAAAAAAAAATTCCCATCCCCAGTATGACCAATCGTAGTCTGAAACACAGAGTTGTGAGGATTGGAAGTGTAATCTCTGCACCGCACGAGAAATCCAGCATTTAAAATTACCAGTGCTGCTCATTAACATGAGCCTCGTTCTTGCCGCCAAACCCAGCAATGAATAGCTGGGAAAATGTGGGCCGGGGAGAAGTGATGGGCTCTGGATACTACAACAATGATAATTAATTATTAGCACGGTTGGCTATGTACGGTGCGAAAGAAGTTCTACATACATACATTAGTTTAACACGTAGTCTTTTCGCGACCGATATCCATAACAGAGCTTTGTTTTTGCACATCTCTGGCTGTCGCCTGATGATGCTGGTTGTTGTTGTAATTACCGGCGAAACGTCGTGGTACTCGAATAGTAAATGTTGTGGGTTTACTCTCCAACACATCGGTGTGCTGAACTGGTAACGAATTGGCACGTTTCGTTTACGTGACAAACCTCGCTAATTGGCTGTCGGGTTTAACGACGGCCGGTTTAACGACACATTTGTATTTCCGCCTTCTATCCCAAAAACCTCTGTTATGTTTACATACGTTAGCACACAGTAATCATTGCTCCTGGGAGAAAACAAGAATGACAAACTTGACCATCGCGTTTATGTTATTTTATTTCTGGTTTTTGTTTGGTTACATTATTTCTCTCCCCCCACCTTCCGTAACAAAATAACAAAAATCAACAAGGGACGGCACAGCCCAGCGGTAGAGCCTTTGCCGTTTTTGGCAGTCGCCCTCATTATCACTGCAGGAGTAATAATCAACAATGGCATTACTAGCCACCGATCGAGAGCCCCCCCCCCCACCCCCGACTTAATTCGCAAGAGAAGGCTTTATTGTGCGCTGGCCTTCATGGTCCAGATTTGTAAAAATTTGAAAATGACACTCAAAATTACTCACTTGGGATTATGCATGGCAATCGTCGCCCTACAGGCAGACTAACACGCCAGGTCAAATGAGACTGTCCTGCTCGCTTGAGTTACCACCTGGTTAAATAAACTTGAAAATTCGTCACTTTAACGATAAACGGTAAATGTTACAGCCCAGTTATTTGTGGCTCGCTTCACTGCCTGTGGAGGGTCCTCCACTGGGGGGAGCTGTAGAGATTTATACTCTTGCAAGACCTGGGGGGTAAGCCGCACGTTACACCCATCCTACACGTGTGTGGCCTGCCGATCGACTGTGGTGGTCAGGGCCGTCCATAGGTTGGGGAGTGCGGGGACCGGGGAAATTCACACAGTGAGAGCCCCCCAACGCCTTCAAGACGTATCACGTCTTACATTGTGATGTCGAATCGCGGGCCCCCCTACCCGCCCCCCCCCAAGAGCGGGGCCCGGGGCAGTCGCCCCAATTCACCATGCACACCACCACCAGACGGCTCTGGTGGTGGTGGTGTACCCATTTTAACGGCTGCGTAGACACAGGTGATGCATGTTGAAGGAACTTGAACCGTTGGTTCGACTGCCGCGCCAGGAGATGGAATCGAATGGGTGACCTCTGGGTTGTAAAGTCCACTGTGATTGCAAGTCCACCATGGCTTAACACTTAAGAACCGTATCATAACTGTAGATATAAATTTGGTACATTTCCACAAGGTGGCAGTGTTTCACCATCTCACCGCAAATAGCCTGCAACTCTTGGGTTTTTATTGTCCCCCCCTCTCTCTCGCTTCCTTGTTTTTATTCCGATTGTGTTATTGGCATTTAGCGAGCTAAGTTTACAATAGGAACTACTATCGGCGCATCCATCGTTCTGTGTCAAGAGTACGGCCCCCGCAAGTTTGCGTTACAAGATTCCTTCCGAAGTCGCTACAAAAGGTCTCTTTATCCACACTCGAGGCACACATTTTCATATTATTTTAAATCAAATATTAAAAGTCTCAAATTAACTAAAACAACTCATTTAAAATCTTGGGCTGTGTGTGTGTTTTCATTGGTGAGACGGCGTGAATGAGACCATAAATTCAGGACACTTAAAGAACCAGTTTCATGGTATAAGAAAGCCCACGTGTTCAAAATGAAGAGAACCAGGTTTTAATGACGGGCGACTGGAACCAACATTTGGGGTTGGTTTGTTCGTGGGATCGCAATTCAGGTGAGAGCCCACAGACGTTTTGTCTCGCTCCAAATTTCAAGCGCTCATGGTACCCACTGGTTTTGCACGCTTTGGTTTTTCGTGCGTCTAATAAGCGGCAGTGAACAGCAGGGGGCAGTATTGCACTTTGATTGAAATCCCAAATGTTTAACAGTTCATAGCAGCATATTTTTTTAGTATGTATGCATTGTCAATTTAAAGTTAAGTGTTGTTAATTACGCACATTTACCATTGAAATGATGGGAGGAAAAAAACATTTGGCCGCTAAAACATTTTTAAACGGCCACATTCTTATTTGATAAGAACTTACAATAATGTTCAAGAAAGAAATTACATTAAAAGCACTGCATATGGCGTGTGTGTATGCATGTAATAAAACTATGTAGCTATTTTAAATGCAGCCCTATTACACGCAACTTTTTTTATCCTAATTTTTCCCCTATAATATATTTTTTCACGGCTAGAATGAATTCTATTCTATTCTTGCGTATGATGGCAACATGTCCGGGAGCTAAATTCCAATGCCGAGGGTCTGCTAGGCACGACGAGAGGGCTTCGGAAAAGTGTTCGTGTAGATTTTATGTTCCTCCTCCGTCGAAGGGTCACGGACGACAGTGGCTTACTCTCTGACCCATAGGACGAATAACCGATCGGTGGAAGCATTGCCACCCTGTTATCCAGGCTCGTCTACGTTGAGGTTTCCCCATCAGTGGTCTTCCCAAAATGCGAAATCATCTCAGTATCCACATTTTAAAGATAATTGGCGTGAATCAAAAGAAGTGGCACCCAATCATCCACTTATCCGTGTTTACCCACGGGTAATCAAAAGTACAGATATCGAGAGGAAATCGAGCTCCCCCGATGGATTTTCGTGTCGTACCACGTGTTGTTCGGAATGATGTCCAACGTTTTACT